TTTCTTGAAAGCAAAGTTCACAGTTGATATAATGCATATGTTTTTATTCTGGAATTAAAATAGCTGAGGTTTGATGGTGAAATTACAGTAAAAGCTTGTGTACATTAAAGGAAATAGATTATATAGAATATAGAATAATAGAATTGGAAATTACCTTGGAGGTTTTCTAGTCCAACCCCGTGCTCAAGCAGGAGACCTCATACCATTTCAGACAAATGGTTGTCCAGTCTCCTCTTAAAAGCCTCCAGTGATGAAGCATCCACAACTTCTAAAGGCAAGCCATTCCACTGGTAAATTGTTCTTAGTTTTAGGTTACATTTCTCCTTGATTAGTTTCCATCCATTGTTTCTTGTCTTGCCTTCTGGTGCTTTTGAAAATAGATTTGACACCCCTCTTCTTTGTGGCACCCCCGCAAATATTGGAACACTGCTATCATGTCATCCCTAATCTGTTATCAAATACACAAATACAACCTCAACCATCCAAAATATGTTGCCCTATAAATCATCTAATCCATATCTGTTTATAATTGAACTGTTTGTTCAAATGTTGCTGGATTGCCTGAAGCATAATTTCTTGCGCTGATGTAAGGAGAATATGAATTCATTCCAAGTAGTGCCAAGAAAACAATGGATGGAAGCTCTCCAAAGAGAGATCCAATTTGAAATATACAACTGACTTGTGAGTGAAATAGTCTGCCTTCTAGAATCATGAGTGCTCCATCAGTGGAAGTTTTCAAACAAATATTGGACATTTTAAACACTTTAAATGATGCTAATTGTTAGAATAAAAAAAACATTGTTCATATTCAAAAAGGAATACAAAAATGTTAAAATTCTTTATTATCCGTGCCATAAGTTTTCATTTAAATAATGAAAGTGAGTGATATATTTAGTGAGTAAACAATGTATATGTGTTAATAAAATTTCCAAAACAATTTTAATTATTTTCTTTATAGGCAAACGTACTGCAGAATTGTCATAACAATGGAGTTGATGTTAAATAAATTGAAGAGCACTGTTACAAAAGTGACTGCAGATGTCACAAGTGCGGTTATGGGAAATCCTGTAACCAGGGAATTTGATGTTGGTCGGCACATTGCTAGTGGTGGCAACAAACTTGCTTGGAAAATTTTTAATGGCTTTAAAAAGTCAACAAAACAGGTAAGCTTTTTGAGAAAGAAATCTATATAATTACAATGGTATTTCAAAAGAGAGTATGTAGTTTACAATGGCAGAATAAAAGTTGTTGACTATGCTCAACGTTATGTTTGTGGAAATGACGTTCATATATGTTCCTGTTAGGTTTCTAAAAATGTCTCAATATTTAAAAGTTATGAGAAAACTAAGAGAATTAAATATACTATAACTTCTTAGATTTCAATCTAAGGAGGTTGTCTTATCTGTAAGTAGATATATGAAGTCTATCCTAATCTATCTCAGACGTGTCTGCTTAATTGCTATCACATTTTTATCATTTTATTTACTGATTTTTAAAAGTGAGCAAATGGTTAGTTCTTAAGCATGTTAATCTTTGGGCAATTTTTTACACTTATAATATATTCAAGTTATTCTCTATTTTCTAATCTGTCTCCCACTTACTTCTTAGGAATGGAGTTAGGGCCATTCTTAAATTCCTGCTTGCTCCACAGAAGGTTTTTAGTTATATATGTGTAGTAGGTATGTATTGGCATGTTGCCCTGTTAAAGTAGTATCATACCTTTTGGTGTATAAGACACACTTTTTCCTTCCCCCAAAGTGGGTGCACTTTTTCCTTCCCTCAAAGTGGGTGTGCGTCTTATACAGCAAATGTTGTCGAAGCCCCGCCCACCTGCCAACCCCCACTCTTTGACCTCTGCCTCCCAGCAATTTGCCTCCTTACAGCAAACAACAAACAGCCTGGTCAGCTTCAGCACAGCCTGATTAGCACAAGTAGCTGTTTGTTGGTAGGATCGCCCTACTGACAATCAGCTGTTTCAGGCTGCAGGGATTGCCATCGCCTATTGCCGCCTCCACGCCTCCCATTTTTAGCCTGTTCCAGGCAGCAGGGATTGGATCGGGTGGAAAATGGAGTGTGTGGAGGCCAAAAATGGGGTGCCGTGGCCGAAAATGGGGCATGCAATAGGCGATAGCAGGCTGAAACAGCTGATCGTCAGAAGGCTAATCCAACCAAAAATCACCTACTTGTGCTAATCAGGCTGTGCTGAAGCTGACCAGGCTGTTTGCTCTTTGCTGCAAGGAGGCAAATTGCTAGGAGGCAGAAGCAGATTTTTTTTTTCTTGTTTTCCTCCCCAAAAGCTAGGTGAGTCTTATACTTTGGAGCGTTTTATAGTCCAAATTTGTATTTGTAATTGCTAGTGGATGACAGGAATTAGGCTGAAATATATCAGAATTTCAGGCATTATTTGGGAGAAATGGCATTCAATAACTATGACAAAGAACCAGCAATATGTAATTCCACAGTCAAGCTAAAAGCTCACTAATTTATATTTTGGCTGTGACATGTGATTAACAATTTTAATACAAACCACTATGATTTTATTGTGTATCTCATGTCCTAATAAATGTGTGGTATGTGGCCAAAGAGATCTAAAATTAAGAGATCTAGATTCAGTAAATATTTCTGGCATAAAAGTATATTGAAACATGCTATCCCAGTGGTGGCTAACCTTTTGGGGCTCCTGTGCCAAAAATTGTGCTTGTGTGCGTGCACTTGCGTGCCAGCACCCAGAAGGCAATGCATGCGCCCCCCCCCACGCTCCCTGCACATCCGCGCGCAAGCCCCGCATGCCCCCCACGCTGTCCCCTTACTTGCACTGCACCTCCCAGCTGATTTTTGGTTCATTTGAGGCCTTTTTCGGCCTCCCAGAGGCTTGAGGAAAACTTCTGCAGCCTTTAAAGGCCAAAAAATGGGCCTGTTTCGTCACTTCCGGTATTTCTGGAAATACAGGAAGTGATGAAATGGGCCTATTTTTCGATCTGCAAAGGCTTTCCTCAAGCCTCTGGGAGGCCGAAAAAGGCCTCAAACAGGCCGAAAATGAACTGTGAGGCACATGTATGTGCAGTATATGCGGCTCGCGTGCCGGCACAAATGGCTCTGTGTGCCATCTGTGGCACGTGTGCCATAGGTTCGCCATCACGGTGCTATCCCTTTGTATATATGTGTTTGTTTATATACTGAACTCTTCCCAGTCCTTCATTGAAAAGCTATTGTACGTACTGTCTGCCCCCCTCCTATCCATTTTTCCTTCCTGAAATTCCTGGGTTTATCTCTTGGTCTTTGTATATTATGCATCGGAATATTGGCTGCTGTCAGGTATTTCAAAACATAGTTTTGCTTTATTCAATTGCATTTCTTTCTGTCCCTGATTGTCAGACCGTATTTCTCCGCTTTGGTTTTGTTACAGGTAGTCCTCAAGTTACAACAGTTTGTTTAGCGACAGTTCAAAGTGATGACAGCACTTCGTCATTGCACCACATCCACGGACACATGGTTGCAATTCAGGCACTTGGCAACTGAATATTATTGGTTGCACATCTTGCAATCATGTGATCATGGTTTTAACTTTTTTTGCTAATTTCCAGCCAAAAAAAAGACCATGGGAATGTTGGATTCAGTTAAGAACTGTGAGATTCACTTAACTGTAGTGATTAGCTTAATGACCAAATTGTCATAAAATCAGGTCCAACTCAACTGTTAAATGAAAATATAATGTATGTAGAATATAATGTAATTGTACAGTTGTGGAATTACAGGTAGTTCTCAACTTCAACCACAACTGAGCCCAAAATTTCCATTACTAAGCACAATAGTTGTTAAGTGTGTTTTGCCCCATTTTACAACCTTTCTGGCTACAGTTGTTAAATGAATCAACTTTCTCATATACTTTGCTTGCCGATTGGTTGCAAAAGATGACCCTGGAACATCATAAATACATGCCAGTTGCCAAACATCACATTTCTAATCACATGACCACACAGATGCTGTAATGATTGTATGAAAAACAGTCATAAGACACTTTTTTCAGTATCATTTTAACTGATTGTACAACATTGTAAATGGTTGTAAATCAGGACTTATCTGTATAAACTGCCCTTTATACTTTAAAGTACACAATTTTACATAAATGTTACAGGGCACTAGTTCATCTTATGTAGTCTACTACATATCATCTGTTTTGTCTAAGCAGCTTTCTAAACTTTCTAAAGCCTCATGCTGTTTATTTACAAAATATATGCGGCACCTTTTTTTGCCCCCAAAAAGTCATATGCTAACAATTATAAAAATTAAAATTGCATGCTTTCTTTTAACTGAGATAGAAAGAATTTTAATTGGGATCTTCTACTTGCAAAGCATATAGTATATTACTGAATGATTGTGTTCTGGCCAAGGCTTCTGAGATAGTAATTACGCACACGCTTATTTTAAAAACAACTCTTCTTTTATTGCAATGCTGGGAATTATTTTCATTCCCAACCGATAATGACTCTCAAAAAGTCCCTGGAGAAAAGCACCCACCTTTCTTTCCTGTGAAGTGCTTCCAATAACAGAAGTGTCAAATAAACTAAAACAAGAACCAACCAAAGTACAAAGAGCTTCAAGAATGAATCTAAACCGAATAACTTTGCTTCCTGCAAAGGTTTCATCATCTTGGCCTGTCCTTTATACCTTATGGGAGGGGCAATCACCTCCCAGCCTTGCTCCCAAGTCACCCCTTTTGTTTCAGCTGCTCTCACCTTCCAGCAGCTCTGCACATACGTGCACTGGGAACAGGCTCCCCTGGGTCCTCTGCCTCGCTGCTGCCAGACTCCGAGACAGCACCCCACTCCCAGATGGTCCCAGCCCCATCCCTGCATAGGACGCAGGACCGTCGTCCAAGTCCTCCCCAGACTCCCAGACTGATCCCCTTTCTTCCCCACTGTCCGATTCCGCTGCCGTCTGCACAGGCTCAGCAAACCACTGCAGATTTTCTTTTCTCTACATCTTACTCTCCCTCCCACAGATACATTCTACCAGTTGTCTGGTTTTTAGTCGCCTTCTATATAGCTGTAGCTGTATGCCTCATGACTGATTATCTGAAGAAGTTTTTATATTCTTGAACTGTTTTTGTTGTTTGTAAAGGATTGATATGTTTGTATTAGTGCAGGCTAGAGCAATATTTAGCCACACTTTAGTGTTCTCTGTATGGGACTACTGTTGAAGAATGGAAAAAAGACTTAATTTAATTTAACCAGGATAGTTTCGGGCCAATTCTTTCTGCACTGGGCTGGGTTGTTTTAAGGAGTGGGTTACTATGTATAAATTGCAATGTGTTTTTATATCTAAAGAGCATCTCTTGCATAAATCTGTCCATCAGTTGTTATTAGGTTTGTTGTAAAAAGATGAGCTATAATTATATAATGCAATCTTCTATCCTGAAATATAATGAGGGCCTTTTTCATTTCATTTATACTGAAGGCCTTTTTCATTTCATTTATCAAGCTTTTGGTAAATTTAATTGTGTTAATTTTGATTAGTGTCTTTTAAGTAGTTCTGATTATTGTTTCTTTTTCATCTCAATTATTTTTAAACCATATAATATGATCTGCCTATGGATGCCTGAGAAACAAATATAAAATCAGTTGTTCATATTATTTCTGCAATTTGTTACTTGGAGGACTGTATGGATTTAGTACACTTGTTTTGATTGAATGAGAAAGATATGACAAATTCTTAGGCTGGAGTAGAAGGTATCTGATAGGTGTTCTTGTAACAAAGATATTGTTCTGTTTCCTGTAGTGCTAGATGATCAAGAAATTATGAATAGATTATACTTACATTGACTCTGGTATAGTTGCTACCACAGGTTGTCCCAAAGGTGCTTTTCAAAAGGCAGCTGGACTTGTTTTTTTTTCTTTGAAAACATTTCGCTTCTCATCTAAAAAAAAACTTCTTCAGTTCGTAAGTTTGGTCATCCAGACTTGGATAATTGAAAATCTCCATAGATATGCTACCACAGATGCCTTGATTTATGACCACCACAATTGGGACAGGAATTTCCAACACTAAGCAATACGGTTGTAAAGCGAGACATCATGTGACCACATTGCTTAGCAAAGGCAATCCTTACAATCCCAGTTGCCCTCATTAAGCAAATTCCACCAGTCATCCGCCAAGGGCCTACCCCCATTCCAGGCTTGGTTCCTCCCAGCCCTGAGTCTCAGTAAGGTAAGGAACTGCCTCCAATTCCCCTCACCCATCAAACTCCCCCCACCCTGCCCTTTTGGCTGTCACACACTTGTGTACGGTAAGTAGTACCAGAATAGAATGGCTGTGGGGCTGCTTGCTATGCCTAGGAAGTCACAGCCACTACACTCACCCCACCCTACACCAGAGCCAATAGCACGGCACAAGGCAATTCTTTGACGCACTATGACTGTGGACTATAAAAAGCAGCCCCTGAGCTAAAGCACAAAGCCTAGTTGCAGCAATATGGCATAAAGTCACAGCCCACTCCAGCCACAGTTGCCCTCACCACCATGCTCTCCATCTCCAGTGATGTAGCACCACAACTTCTGAAGGCAGTCCATTCAAATGTTTAATTGTTGTCACTGTCAGGAAGTTTCTCCTAAGTTCTAGGTTGGATTTCTCTTTGATAAGTTTCCTTCTGTTACTTCTTGTCCTGTCTTCAGGTATTTTGGACAATAGGTTGACCATCTCTTTTTTATAACTGCCCCTTAAATATTGGATGACTACTATCATGCTATCCCTAGCCTTTCTTTCGTTATCTCTCTGGGTAATCTCTCTAGATATTGTCAAAGCTTATTAAAGCTTTGAAAATACTTTATCAATCATTCATACGTGTGTACTGTATTTTCTGATTTATTTTCTCACATTTTAATGCTGTGTAATTGGATCAGAAGAAAAGGTGTTTCAAAGCATGCATTTGCAAACCACTAGTCAGTGAACTTTAAACTAAATGTCCCTTTTCCCAAGATTGTGCTATAGAATGAGTGTGATCCCAGGAACAGACTCAAATACTTCAAGGACTTTTAAGAACAAATTGGATAGCCATTTGTCTGAAATGGTATAAGGTCTTCCGATTGAGCAAGGAATTGAACTAGAAGACCTCCAAGAACCCAACTCTGTTATTTTGTTATTATATTAGATTTGGCTGAATGCCGCTTATCAGGAAAATTGTTCTATTGTACTTACTGTATTACTATTCCAGTGAATTTTTCAGCACCACTGTGCAATAGCGTTTAAAAACTGTACTTTTAATAAAACCTTTCTGTCACGTGTAAAGAGAATATGACAGAATGAAGTGCCTGAACATAAAGCTTGTTTTTTCACTTAAGACATAGTTTGAAATTTCTGAATAGATATAAACTACTGTAGGTTTGTATACAGGTTTGTATACATGTTGTTCTGAACTTACAGCCATTCATTTAATGATCATTCAAAGTTACAACGGTGCTGAAAAAGGTGACTTATGACTGGTCCTTGTACTTACGAGTGTCACAGAATTCCCATGGTCACATGATCAAAATTTGGGCAGTTGGCAATCAACATGTATTTACACTGGTTGCAGCATCCCAGGGTCACATTATTACCATTTATGACCTTCCTAACCAACTTCCACAAGCAAAGTCAATGGCGAATGTTAGGTCTGCTTAACAACTATGCGATCCACTTAACAACTGCATGATTCACTTAAAAACCTGCATTGTTTTGCTTAACTGTGTCAAAAGAGATTATAAAATTGGGCACAATAACTGTCTTGCTTAGCAACAGATGTTCCAATCCCAATTGTGGTTGTAAGTCGAAGATTACCTGTTCAAGATGGCAATTCTCTTGCAATGGTGAAATGACTTGTTTTCAGTTAAAAGGCATCAAGAAGAATTATTTTAAAGTATTAAATGTAGTTTTCTTAAGAGATATATTAAATATAAATGGTTCATTAATTACATTTGTATACCTTATGTTTAGGAAGTGGCAGTCTTTGTATTTGATAAAAAAATTATGGATAAATATCAGAAATTTGAGAAGGATCAAATTATTGATTGCTTAAAACGTGGAGTTCAGCAGTTGACAAGACTTCGACATCCTCGGCTGCTAACTGTGCAGCATCCACTAGAAGAATCCCGGTAAAAATTTCTGATGCTACAGTAATAATAGATTCAAAGTCAAAACAAAGTCAACATCTAATAATTGTATTCTTATGAATTTTGAAATTTGACAACCAAAGTGCAGTCTAAAATACAGAATTGTAAAAAACGGAATTCTTTTAAAAATACATAGATTTCTAAATAAAGCAAGGGTTTACAACTTATACCCAGATTCTAAATACTTTTCAAATATTTTATACCCTGGGTATAATGGGTGATGAAATACATGCATTTAATTCAGTTTACATTCTATGAATGCAAGAGAGTCTTTTAAGGAAAAATCAGAGACCTATTTAAAATATTCAGAAATTTCATTTGATTTTGTTCTTTTTTTTCCAGTAAAAAGAGAAGCTTTAAAGGATTTTAACTGGTGTTGATTCTTGCAAAATAATGTTGATTTATGTAGTTGGGATTTTGGTAGTTGCTGTTAAGATTCCAAATGAAAATATATTCATTTATCATAATGTCTTGTGCATTTTCCAGATGTCAGTGTGCTATGCAACCTATAAACTACCTGCATTAGTATCCCTATCTCTTTTTTAAAATTGAACATTTGGAGTGTTTAGTAAAACTATCCTTGTTTTCTTTTAGAGATTGTCTAGCATTTTGTACAGAACCAGTTAGTGCAAGTTTGGCTAATATACTGGGTAACTGGGAGAATCTTCCTTCACCCTTACCATCTGACATCAAAGATTATAACTTGTATGATGTGGAAACAAAATATGGCTTACTTCAGGTATGCATTGACTTATAACTTATATCAATTATGATGCATCATAATTGTAATCCATTCAAAATTGTGTGTGATTGTGTCTGTAAATGATTAGGTGTATTCTAATTTTACCAGACTTAAAGGCAAGAGGACCATTACATGACTAAAGATATGACAGTAAACATATTTGAAGAAGTGGATCTTGCAGCATTTTGTATGCTGTGCTCTTTGAACATCTTATTGTATTCCATATATAAATGAGACACTTAGTTCACATTATTTTCCTTCTACAGAAAAAAACAATAAAAGTACTGTTTACAATACAAATTTACCATAAATTTGTACATCAATTCCTTGCAAATTGTAAAATAATCTGCAAGTGAATTCACACATTTTAGATAATTAAAAACTTCAGTCCTCAGCTGCTTTCAGTTCTTAAAAGATTTTTGGGAACTCCACAAGAGATTATCTTGTTCAGATATCTTAGTCATTTGTATCCTACTCTGTGTTCTAGAATAGTTGCTCTTGTGTAAGTTGTGCACAGATTTCTCAGGGATAAGAAGGGCTTAAAGACCTAATTACAGTTGATTGGATGAGCAAGTTTGTCTTGGTTACGTTGTGTGGAGTATTGAGATAGTGGTTACAAGCAAAGATATAATCCATCATAATTAAGTTTCAGAAAATTGGGAAAAAAGACATTATCACAAGAATATAACTTTCCTTCCCAACAGGTTTCAGAAGGCTTGTCATTTCTACACAGCAGCGTGAAAATGGTCCATGGCAACCTTACTCCTGAAAACATAATTTTAAATAAAAGTGGTGCGTGGAAAATTATGGGATTTGACTTCTGCATTCAATCAATAAATCCATCTGAACAAGAGGTAATAAATTGTTTAATGTGTTATTTTTCTTAAATGAAGCCCAGCTGAAAATATTAAGTCTAATATTTAGCTGATTTAAAAGTTTTTAAAGTTTACAATGAGTCAATATGTGATAGTTCCTTTACTTTACCAGATAGACAAACACTTGACATTGTCATAGATGAAAATTTTGTATATGATTTGTGGTTTGTACTTTTTAGTACAAATTAAGATGTTATGGATTTTGGAGGAAGTCATGGAAGACAGGCTAGTAAATTATTTATTTATTTATATTATTTATATATTTACCAACTCACAAAAGTAACTTTGATAGTCTATAAAATAAAAACACAAAACGCTACTGCACACAGTAGTCTCATTCACAATTCGTAGTAACAACTCATGTACCCAAAATGCCTGGGGAAACAGCCAGGTTTTCAATGGCTGGTGAAAGGCTGAGAGGGTTGAGGTCCAACAAGAAGATAGATATTCACCACTATTGCAAGGTGGTATTGTTTGATAGGAAATGGAGCATATCTGTCTAGTAGATTTGGTGAGTCAAGAAAAAATAGAAGAAAGACAGTCCTGCAGATTGCCTGCCCTGTGCCGTGGAGGTTTTATAGGTAATGGCAGTCTTGGTAGTCAGTGCAGCTCATAGAACACTGGCATTACAGCAGTGGTTCCCAAAGTGGGCGGTACCACCCCCTGGGGGGGGGGTGAGATGCCTTAGGGGGGCGCTAAGGGGCAAAGGGGGGCATTAGAGGTGCTGGCTCCGCAGGCTCACTGACTGCCGGCCATGCAGCCCATTGATTGTTTCATCGCTCCGTAGCCGGCGCCTCGAATGCAGAACCCGCGCGCAGCGAGCCTTGCCAAGCCTGGGGGAGGAGAGGTGGGAGGTGGCGGAAAGGGGGCGCCTTAGCTTGCAGGCTGTCCTCTCCGGTGGAAGTGACCTATTAAAGGTTTTGTGGACGAAACATGGTCAAGACTATCAGGAAGTTCTCACATTTTGTTGAGGCTTTAAACAGGATCCATTGGACCAGATCTCCACCCTAAAAATTACTTTTCCCCAATGTATGACAGTGCCAATTCTGAAGAAGGCAAAACCAAAATGTACTGGTAAATTACAAGGAGAACACACACACATACACACACACACACACTCCCTTCTAACCCTGTTGGAGCAGGTGATTGGACTAGAATAGATATCTCATTATCTTTCTCCTCCCTCCTTTATTTCTTTTTCTTTCTGTCCCTTCCTTCCATCCCCCTTTTCTTTGTCCCTTTTTCTTTCTTTCCCTTTTCTCTTTCTTTTCTTCCTTCTCTCTCTCTCTCTCTCCCTCTCTCTTTTCTCTCTCTCTTTCCCTCTCTCAGGCTCACCCCATTGACTTGACTTGCTTGGGCAGGTCCCTCCAGTGCAGTGGGCTCAATGGGGTGGACCTGCAGGGCCAGCACCTAGAACGCGGCAGTGGTGGCATGTTTGAAAAGTAAAGCAAAGCCAGAGGTCGGTAATTTTTGCTGCAAAGAATCACAAAAGCTTCTGGGTTGTGCACAAGAAGGGACACACATGTCAATGCAGTTCAGCAACATAAACTAGATACAAATAAAACAAATCAACAAGAATCGGCAAAGCATCTCTGATTAGATTTTATTCACTACTAGAATCTAATCAGAGATGCTTTGCCTAATCTAGTCCAATGATCTAATCTAGCTCCAGCAGGGTTAGAAGGGTTAGAAGGGAGTGTGTGTGTATGTGTATGCATGGCTGTCAAAACTCCAAAAACAGGTCAAGTATCTCTGGGGAGGCCAATCATAAATTAGAACACTTGCTAAATAACCGGCCATTAAGTGAGGACCACTTGTTTGCCAGTCACTTGGCCATGCCCACCCAGTCACATGACCACCAAACCACACCTACCTGGTCATATGACCAGCAAGCCATGCCCAGCCAGCAAGCCATGCCAGCCAGTCATGTGACCAGCAAGCCACGCCCTCAAATTAGGCCACACCCACAGAAATTTGAATCCCACCCCTTGGTGGGGGGCACTGAGGATGAGTTTGTAGCACCAAGGGGGCGGTGGACTGAAAAAGTTTGGGAACCACTGTATTACAGTCATAACAGGAAATACCAAACGTTATCCGCACCACTACATCCTGGACCAGTTGCAGCTTCTAAGTATTTTTCAAGGGCATATAGAATGCATTCAATAATCCAGTTAGGAAGTGAGTAAGGCATGAGTCACTATAAGCAGGGTCTTCCAATCCAGAAATAGCCACAATTAATGTACAAGACAAACCTGTGCAAAAGCCCCACTGGCCATGGCTGCCACCTCTTCTTCAAGCAGGAAGAGGATTCCCAAATACACCCGCATACAGAGTTAAGGATGGAAAATCCCCAGAGTAAGGGGGCCTTAAAATCCATAGCAACTTAGTCTTGCCATGGTTGAAGCTTATTCTCCCTCATCCATTAGTTATCTTAACAGCCCTAAAATTAAGTGGGATGGTATATTTATATATGTTATATCAGTGGTTCCCAAACTTTTTCAGTCCACCGTCCCCTTGGTGCTACAAACTCATCCTCAGTGCCCCCCACCCAGGGGTGGGATTCAAATTTCTTAACAACTGGTTCTGTGGGCGTGGCCTAATTTGTGGGTGTGGCTTGGTGGTCATGTGACTGGGATGTGTGGCCAGATGGCCATGTGACTGGCAAACCAAATATAAGTAGTCCTCCTTAATGGCCAGTTGTTTAGTAAGTGTTCTAATTTATGACTAACCTTCCCAGAGCTACTTGACCTGTTTTTGGAGTTTTGACAGACAGACAGACACACACACACACACACACAAATACACCCTTCTGCCCTGCTAGAGCAGGTGGTTGGACTAGATATCTCATTCGCTTTCTCCTCCATCCATCCCTTCCTTTCTTTTTTCTTTCTTTCTCTTTCTTTCTGTCCCTTCCTTCCATCCCCCAACTCTTTCTTTGTATATCCTTTTTCTTCCTTTCTCTCTCTCTTTTTCTTTTCCTTTTCTCTTTATTTTCTTTATTGTTTCTTCCTTTTCTCTCTCCCTTTCTCTCTTTTCCTCTCTCTTTCTCTTTCTCTCTCTCCCTCCCTCCATATCACATTAACTTTCTTCTCCCTCCTCTTTCTTTCTTTCTTTCTTTCTTTCTTTCTCATTCCCTCTCTTTCTCTCTTTCTTTTCTCTCTTTCTCTCTCTTTCCCTCTTTCTTTCTGTCCCTTCCTTCCATCCCCTCCTCTTTTTTGTCTATCCCTTTTTTTCCTTTCTCTCTCCCTTTTTCTTTCTTTACTTTCTTGTCTGTTCCTTCTCTCTTTCTCTCTCTCTTTCTTTTTTCTCTCTTTCACTCTCTCTGTTCTCTTTATCTCTTTCCCTCTCTTTCCCTCTCTCTTTCCCTCTTTCTTCTCTCTTTCTCTTTTCCTCTCTCTTTCTTTTTTCTCTCTCTTCCTCTCTTTTTCTCTCTTTCCCTCTCTCTCTATTCCTTCCTTAACCTGTCTACCTATTTTCTGCCCAGGTAGGCATGGCCTAATCTGTCAAAGGCCTGGGATAATCCTGCATCACCCCATTTCCCCTTTCAGAGGCCCCGGCCCTTAATCTCCCCGTTTCCTCCCCCACAACCATCTCTTTCGTCGTCCTACAGCCGTGACTTTACCTTCCTCCTGCGGCTGGCTGCCAGGGAAGGCAATCCAGGGCTGAACCATTGTTGCTTGGCTCCCTGCCAGCCCACATCACCCTTGTCACAAATGCCTGCAGCCCCCGGTGCGGCTGGACTCCACTGTGTCTGAATGCTTTTTGCAGCAAAAATTACTGACCTCCAGCTTTGCTTGCTTCACTTCTCCAATGTGCCGCTGTGGCCATCAGCGATTTTTGCGCATGCACACGATGTCACGCATGCGCAATAAGGACTGACTGGGCAGGGAACGGAGGAGCGGGCAGAGAGGAGCAGGGCCAGCCAGGGCCCTGTTTTACCGTTTCTCCGAACTACCGCGAACAGTAATGAACCGGTAGAATCCTATCCCTGAATTGCGCCCTGCAAGGGGCCCACCTCCAGTGCCCCCTGCCACCTCTTAGCGCCCCCCTGCCAACCCTCTTTTTTCTTAGCGCCCCCCCAAGTCATCCTACCACCTCAGAGGGCCGTACCACCCACTTTGGGAAACACTGTGTTATATGTTCTTAGGTTTTGCTTTTTTCATGTAATATTAAAAATATGTGTCAAAAATTAAATGAATTTCAATTAAAATGGGAATATATTAAAAATATAGATAAGTAATTAAGGTGGTACTTTTGGATGTTAATATTACTTAGCTAGAATAAAGTATTTGATTTAAATTTTATTGTTTCACAATATATGACTTCACTACATTTCTTATTGCAGCCCAAATTCTCTTCTAAAGAATGGGATCCAAATTTACCATCTTTGTGTCTTCCAAATCCTCAATATTTGGCACCAGAATACATCCTTTCAGTAAGCTGCGAAACAGCTAGTGACATGTATTCTCTAGGGGCAATTATATATGCTATATTTAATAATGGGAAGTCAATTTTTGAGATCAACAAACAAGATATATATAAAAGCTTCAGCAGACAGCTGGATCAGGTACATTTAAATCTATTTATATATTTTCAAATACAGGTAGTCCTCAACTTATGACTAGTTGCTTAGCAACCTTCTGAAGTTACAACAGATTCCCCAAAAGTTAACGTATAACCTGGTTTCAAAGTTACGATGGCTGCAGCACCCCTGCAGTCATTTGTCCTTATGGCTGATTGCAGGGATGGTGCAACATCCATCTACCCTGCTGGATCACCACAGCCACTCATTTACCCCAGGGAAATCAGGCTGGCAGTAGTGGATGCAAATCATGGAGCTAGCTGCCTTCTCACCCAGCAAGCAAGAGGAGATCAACTGTCCGGTGCTTGACAGCTTCCTTTCCACTGAAGGACTTTCAGGACTCAGCCTGCTTCATAGCTCAGCAAGAACATGGGTTGCTTCAGGGGGTTTGCTAGCCGTGGGAGATATGGGACAGATGATCCTGGGCCTGCATAGGCCTCCCAGAGGCACCATGTGCTCCATTTAACAACCTTCAGCTTTGTTTAATAGCTGCATCAGGGAGACAAGGGAATGGGATTGTTAAGTGAGGCCATTTTGCTTAGAGGTCACTGACATGTAACTGTAATGGGCAGGCTTCATTATGGTTGTATCTCAGGGACTACCTGTATTGATTATAATGGCTGGTTTCAGATATTAGGCTTGATTTGTGAGCATGAAAATGTATATTGTATATGGTGAAATTCTAAACCAGAAATATTTTTATATAATGAACATATTACAGGCAGGAATTTGTTGTTGTTGTTAATGATGGATGGCATGTGTTCTGTACAGCTTAGTCGGTTGAATTCCAGTAATCTTCAGAACATCCCAGATGATGTCCGTGAACATGTGAAACTGTTGTTAAATGTCACTCCTGCAGTCAGACCAGATGCAGACCAAATGACTAAAGTGAGTAAATAGAAATAACTGCAGAACATAAGGCAAGTCTTCAATTATTATAATAAACAATGAATATAGAGTTTTAAAATGGTTTGTTAAAATACCGTGGTTTATGGGAGATTGGGATGTAAGTGATTATATTTCTCTTATTAGCAGAGCCAGTTGTTTTTTTCTGGCAGAATATCTTTTTAGAGATTGTCATTGCCTAGAATAAGTGAATCTTATGAAACACTGCAAAAAAATGTATATTTGATGTTCATTTTTATCTTTATCTTTTATTTTTATTTCATTTATTTAAATTGTATACTGTCCTAATCCCAGACACTCGAGATTATTCATAAAATCACCTGCTAATTTTAATTAGAATGAAATGCTATTGTTCTTTTGTTAAGACAAATATATAAGATATTTATCATCTAAATAATTCTTTCTTATCTTTTTTTAGATACCATTCTTTGATAATGTTGGGGCTATGACATTACAGTACTTTGATTCTTTATTTCAAAGGGATAATCTTCAAAAATCACAGTTTTTCAAAGGGCTGCCAAAGGTTTTACCAAAACTACCTAAGGTTAGCAACTTACAAATATCTTAATAAATGCCTGTGCAATGCTGTATATTGTAAATGAAATGTGCATTGCTCTATAATGACTTCCTTTTGGGACTGATAAATGTTGCTGATTTAACATGTTTTACAGAAGAGAGTTACAGGATGCACCAGTTATAAAATTATTTTTGAAAATGCTGCATTTTTATTTGTAATATGTAAGGTTAATTATAAAAATCTTCTTATATCTTTGAAACGTAAGGTATCTATTTTCTTTCAGCGTGTTATAGTGCAAAGAATTTTGCCTTGCTTAACATCTGAATTTGTAAATCCAGACATGGTACCTTTTGTTCTGCCTAATGTTCTGCTCATTGCGGAGGAATGTACCAAAGAAGAATACATTAAACTAATTCTACCTGACCTCAGCCCTGTCTTTAGACAACAGGAACCAATCCAGGTACATTTGTATCTTAAACCTTATTCTTGTTTCCTATTATCGAACATTTTATATTTTCCATTACATATTGACAAAAATGTGTGCCTTAAAGTCAGATTACACTGACATGCTGAAAAGAAAAGATAGAACTGTTGTACCTTCATAAAATGTATTCAGTCTGTAAAGTTCCAGCCATAGTTTATTTCAGAATCCTAAATGGAATTCCCTGGAATAGATTTCTGCCAGGTGAGCAGACTTAGTTTCTAAGTCTAGTATATTGCATTTTGTGGATATACTGCAGTCTGCTGCAGATTCCAATAAATCCATACTGGTAATTTCTATTTTAAAATTGGTGTTCTTGTTTTCCATGCTTACAGGCTAGCAACATGGTAAGTGAATATATTTGCTATATTTACACTGACATTTGAATACAGATTGGTACCAAATGTTACACTGAAAGTTATTCTGAATTATTAGTCTGATTAACAAAATAAGCGAAAGTAATTTTTTAAAATTTACATTTCATAAACAGATTCTCTTGATATTTCTTCAAAAAATGGATCTACTGCTAACCAAAACACCTCCAGATGAAATAAAGAACAGTGTTCTGCCAATGGTTTATAGAGCCTTAGAAGCACCATCAATTCAAATACAGGTCTGACAACCATATATTTTGTTCAACTTCATTATAACTGAAATGTATTTGGAATCCTTGACAAATTCTCTTATCCTATCTTTATTAGAATAAGGTCTCACAAAGCAGTAAAAATATTTAAAAAGCAGTATGATAAATTTTTAATTTTTGCATTTGTTTAATTTTGAAATCTGTTTCTTACAACATTTATATGAACTGATTGTTTTTCAAGTCAAAAGGAAGGATGAACAAATAAATATTCTTTACTTTAGAAGTATGTAAAATGTTTCGAGGTTGAAAAGTTTTGATCCTAAATGTATCATTCTGACTTTCAAATGCTCTCTGTTCTAGTTTCACAAAAGCTTTCCAAAGTCAGGGCATACCGTTCCAACTTTACTGGAAGTGGTTTGGCTTTAAAGCAGGCCATTCTGAACATTCACAATTAGAATGGTCCATTTCAGTATTAGTTTATTTCGTGAATGAACAAACTAAGTTTGTGATTTGGGTAAGGTGAGAATGATCCAACCTCAAAACACCTGTGCTTCCCACACGCCAGCCTTCATCCTACCTTTGACCTAAGTATAAATTTTGCCTTAAAATATTAATCATTTAGTGTAAACAGAAATTAAAATCAAGGGCTTGAAAATTACTTTTTTAAAAAGTTAACTCTAACCTTATCCAGTTTTTATATGACAATTGTGGTCTTTTTATTTGCAGGAACTCTGTTTAAATATAATTCCCACATTTGCCAACCTTATAGACTATCCATCAATGAAAAATTCATTGATACCAAGAATTAAAAATGCATGTTTACAAACTTCATCTCTTGCTGTAAGTTTTAATACAGACTTCTTTATAATTGCTTGTATTTTGCTTTTTTTAGTTTAAACAATATTATTTGATTTCTGGTGGGTGGTTTCTTTTGTATTTTAAGCAAAAATTGTTTTGATTATATATAGCTAATATTTGAAGAGTGAAACTGGAGATTACCACTTAGTCTCACTCTTACATCATTATTCCACCTATTTCCAAAATCTGTGCCTCTAAAAAAGGAAGAACTACATATTTTAGATTCTCCACACAAAGCAGTCTCAATTGTATAGGATTTCAAATAGCATAGAGACCCTTCACATAAGCATTTTATTGTATTCCTAAACTTTTCAATTCCTACTAAATGTTCACATATTGTCATTGGCCCAAACTACATACACAGATATGTATTAAACAGATGTTTAGATTTTCTCAGATTGTATTAGATATCTATATATGATTCATACTTCTTCAGCCTTTATTCTTAACACTGGTGCACCACAGGGTTGCATGTTGAGTCCCTTACTCTATCCTCTTTTTGTGCATGACTGCATTCCCACTCACGCTAGTAATAGTATTACTAAATTTGCAGATGATACAATAGTAGTGGGACTCATTTCCGGGGGAGGGATGAGTCTGCCCATCAAGATGAGGTGGACCAGTTGCTTTCGTGGTGTGGAGACAATAACTTGGTCCTCAACACCAATAAGACCAAGGAACTTATAGTGGACTATAGAAGGAACAGATCAGACATCCAGCCCTTGCTTATCAATGGAGACCGAGTGGAGCAAATGGCCAGTTTTAAGTTTCTGGGTGTTACCGCAAAAGAGGACTTAACCTGGCCTTCAAAAGCAGAGAATAAAGGTCAGTATGGGCGGGCGGGTGGGACCAGCAGCAGCTCGTCAGAGAGAACCAGTTCGGTCTCCGTTGATCTTTGGCGCTACCGGTATGCCAGAATCGGACCGAACTGGTAGACTAGCACTACTGGTCTGTATAGCATACGCATTTTATAAATAAGCATTACTACTACTATTACTACTACTGTTACTACTACTACTGAAATGGCTGCTGGTGTGATAGCAGATTGCACTACTCCCCCTTGCTCTCTACTCTCCACCCATCCATTTTCTTTTTATCTGATTGAATTCTTATTTTTTCATTATTTATTATGTTATTTTACAGCTAGTTTGTTTACACACTTTTCATTTGTTCCTTTTTATTTTTGTAACCACCTAGAGCAGTCCCACAATAAGATAAATTTAATTAAAAAATGAATCTTCCTACTTCATATTAGGTAATAGGTAGGCTGTCGACTTTTTTTAAAAAAAATTGCAAAACTGTTTGCTATATTTTCCATAGAACAAATTGTTACAATTTTATTGTTTTTGAAGCTTCCCATGTAAGAATAAGTTTTCACTGCTTCTCTGTACCCACACCATTTAAGTCTGGAAAGATAGAGGAATGTACATCCCATGCACACATAGGTTTTAAGTGATTAAATAGCTTGTTTATGAAATTTCACTTTAAATCACCTTTATTCATAAAAGTTCAGAGGATTTGTTTATATTTTTATTAGGTGCGTGTAAATTCTTTAGTCTGCTTGGGAAAAATTTTGGAATACCTGGATAAATGGTTTGTTCTTGATGATATTCTGCCTTTTTTGCAACAAATTCCTTCCAAAGAACCTGCAGTCCTTATGGGAATCTTAGGTAATACAACTTTTTATTTTTTGTGTGTTGTCTACTGTAATTCCTCTACAGTACTTCGGTGTATGATTCAAATACAGTATGTTTATAATATGCCTCAAAGGTATATAACTTGTTTAGTTTCCTAAGATTTTCTTTTAAGTTCTGTATCAACATAGATTAACTACCCAGGAACGTATCTAGTTGAAAAAATAATCAACTTCAACGTCTTGTTTCCCTATCCCTTCAAACTAAAAGAAATACAAAATACGTTTATACATTTATAATTGCATGCAACAGTTTAGACAGCCCTGCTCAAATTTAAGTTTCAGTGAATCCCTAAATGAACAGAAGCTCTGTACAATCTCTGTTTTGTACAAAGTTAAGCATGAAATTGTGCTGCAAATGTGAACACAGTTATAATGTTTATGTGCAGTTGTTTACAGATTCAAAATTATTTCGGTATCTGTCTCACTTTTAACCTGCATCAGCATAACCAGTCTATCTCCCCCCCCACCCCCAAACTCAATTTAATGATTTAAATCCTACATCAATCAATGCATAAAATCACTGCAACTGTTCTGTGCTATATCAAACACTGCACAGATACTATCACTGTGGATAAATGTATTAGAATCTATCCCAATCAGAAACCCTGGATGACCAAGGAAGTCCAGTGCCTCTTGCGTGACAGGACCAAGGCCTTTAGGTCCAGTGATGGGGCAAGATACATTGTTGCCAGAGCTAATCTGAAAAAAAGTATTTGGAAGGCCAAGACTGATTATAAGAGGAAGATTGAGGATAATTTTTATAGCAGTAACATGAGGCAGGTGTGGTGAGGGATTTAACAAATTACCAACCATCAACTGACCAATATCATCCCTGCTGAGGGGAATGTTCATTGGCAGAGCAACTGAATCATTTCTTTGCTTGCTTTGAAGTGGAGATATCAGAGACAGCTAAAATACAACCACCAGCCAATTGTAGCCCCCACCTCATTATGGAGGAACAGGGTGAGGAGTATTCTGAGGGCTGTGGACCCTAGAAAGGCTTCCGGTCCTGATGGTATCTCTGGCCGAGTGCTTAAAGACTGTGCTGGAGTCTTTACCATGATCTTCAATCGGTCTTTATCCCAGTCCACTATACCATCTTGTTTGAAGGTTTCCACCATTGTTCCGTTGTCAAAGAAGTTCCCTATCAATAACCTCAACGATTACAGACCAGTGGCACTCACTCCTATCATCATGAAGTGCTTTGAGAAATTGGTCTGCCAGCACATCATTTCTGGTCTTCCGCATACATTTGATAAACTCCAGTTTGCATACAGAAGAAATAGATCTACAGAGGACGCTATAGCCATCACTCTTCACACTGCTCTGACTCATCTAGAACAGGGGGGGGGTGCTATGTTAGGATGCTTTTTGTGGATTTTAGTTCTGCGTTTAACACAATTCTTCCACATAGATTAGTGTCTAAATTTCTGGACCTTGGGCTTCTAATTCAATCTGCCTTTGGATTATGGATTTCCTGTCTGGTCGCACACAGAGGGTTAGATTAGGTAATCATACTCCTTCAGCCCTTATTCTTAACACTGGTACATCACAGGTTTGTGTGTTGAGTCCCTTACTCTATACTCTTTATGTGGATGACTGCATTCCCACTCACGCTAGTAATACTATTACTAAATTTGCAGATGATACAACAGTGGTGGGACTCATCTCCGGTGGGGAATGAGTTTGCCTACTGAGATGAGATGGACCGGTTGCTTTCGTGGTGTGGAGACAATAACTTGGTCCTCAACATCAATAAGGCCAAGGAACTTATAGTGGACTATAGAAGGAACAGATCAGACATCCAGCCCTTGCTTATCAATGGAGACCGAATGGAGCAAGTGGTCAGTTTTAAGTTTCTGGGTGTTACCATAAAAGAGGACCTGACCTGGGATGCTCACATTGCAGCCCTGGTCAAAAGGCCCAGCAGAGATTATACTACCTGAGACTTCTCAGATAGGACAGCACTCCAGAGGGTTAACATCATTGCCCAGAAGATCATTGGTTGCCTTCTCCCCACTTTGGAAAAGTTTTATAGCTCCTGCTGTCTTAAGAAAGTTCAAAACATTCTCAAAGATCCATCTCATCCTGGGAGTCCTTTTTTTTAACTATTACCATCTGGCAGACGGTACAGAATAATAAAAACAAGGATAAATAGGCTGAAAAACAGCTTCTATCCCAGAGCAGTAGCTCTATTAAATTCTACTGTATAGTGCAGTGTTGGTGAAATGTCAGGGGTTTTCAATTCAATGTGTGGAGTGTGAACGACGTGTGTTTGTGTTTATTTTCATAGTCATGATGTGCATTGAAGATAGTGTTTGATTTCATTGTACGAGGTGCAATGACAGTAAAGTAAAGTAAACTATTTTGTATCTCGTTTGGCAGGTAGGAAAACTTCCAAAATTCCCTCTAGCCAGCTTTCTATTTCTTCCTTCTGGAAGATTTTCCACTCTTTCTTTTACGACATCTACTGGTTCAGAAAGATCTTCATATATACAATGGATTATTTCCTTGCAGATTTTCAATAACATTCCAGTCTGGGAACTGCGAAGTACATATCAAAGTCTTACTTTTCTTTATGTTCTTTATGGTTGATTTAGAGATATATTTCTGCCTAATTTTTTTTTACTAAAACATCTCTCTATTATCAGCTTCATTTTCTTCACTGATTATAAAACCCCACAGGATTCTAGTACTTTATAGTCTTCTTTTTACCAAAAGATTACTTCTCTATATTCTGACTCAGAGATATGGCCAAATACTTCAGAACTCAGTTTAGTGATATTTTAAGAGTATTTTGCACAGAAGAATTGGCAAGTTGGGCTCCAATGTCATTTTTGAGATTAGCAAATTTACAATGCACTAAAAAAAAAAAAATTCAGAGCCCCTGAGATAATCCAATCCTGCTAAATTACTGAATGCCAGCCCCAAATGCAGAGATTTTTCTTGGTCTTCCAGATCTTGCCTTGACTTCAATAACTACATGTAGCTTCTGTTTCTTAACAGTTCTTGCAACTGAAATTGCTAGCAGAAAGTGTTTTAAATTTTTTTTAATAGATTTCCCCTGCTTTATAAACATAAATTATCTTCATTCTCAAATGGGCAGACAGCTGTCTAGAGGAGATCATGGTTGCTGAAAGTAAATAGGACACTTACACCCTAAGAAGTTAAAAGTGTCAAAGAGTATTCATCTTTATCTAGGTAATTGTAGCAAGTGAGTCACCACCTTTTGGGGCCTTATTAACAACTTTAAAATAATGTGATTAATTTGGAAGACATTTGTTGTCATATTCAATACAATATTGATTCTATAAGCAACTGCAGATAAATAATAGGTAGGCACTCATTTTTAAAAAAAAAAATATGTATTAGTTTCTATTCTTTTGAAACATGTAGACTGGGGGGGGGGTGTCAATATGTTTGTATGCAACTATATATGTAAAGTGAAATGAAAGTTTCCATTATTTAATTGAAACTAGTTTTGTTCTCAGAGTAAAATATGATTATGATTCATTATGACTAGATAAATAGTTAACCCATTAATGTTTCATAACAGGCATTTACAAATGTACATTTAGTCACAAAAAGCTGGGAATTACAAAAGAACAACTTGCAGGAAAGGTGCTCCCACATCTGATTCCTCTTAGCATTGAGAACAATCTTAATCTAAATCAGGTAGGATGATTAATCATATGTTTTCACTATAAAAATGTAATGTTGGAGTTATTCGTAAAGAATCCAAACTTGGGTCACAGATGAGACGTTCATTTTATATTTCACTATGTTGCATTAAAGCTATTTTAAAGGCAGTTCTGCAAAAGTCAGGGAACCGAATTGTTTTTCATTTCATCCCATGATTTATTTTGGTGAAGGAGCATACTTTCCAATTTCGAGCCTTCTTTAAAGAAAAGATCACACTTAGCTTGCACTGGCTGAGTTGTTTTGATTTTTTGAGATGGTGATGATAATGGTGATTATACTGATAACTTTCAGTGTAGGTAATATGTATAGTCTCTACAATGAAGTGCAGTTATGCCAAAGATGCAATACACCGTGACATTAGTTTTGCCATTATATACTTACAAGCTGATGTCTGATGCAAGCCTCAAGTTGTAGGGGCTCCATCATGGGATGGCATTCATTTGTTCTCTCCCCCTGCAAATGCCCATGGAAATTTTTTGACCTCACTAAGGAAATACAAACACAATGGTGTTTATAAAAAGAAGGCTGCAAACTGGAAGGGGATTGATAATTTGAATGAAAAGTATATTGCTAGCAAATAAATCTGGACAATTTCAGAAAAATAGTGTGAGGATTCAAGCATTTTAATAATAAAACATTCATTTTATATATTCATTTCTCTTGGCTCAATTTGCAACAATATTACAGAAAGTACAGTGACCTGATTAGATTCCCAGCATTTTCTAAACATGTGAAAGAAAGCTTATAAAGAACACTAAGCATAGGAATAAGGCTTTGAAATATTGCTTTATATTCTCCAAAGTTGTGATCACTGACAAAAAAAATCATCTATTCTAGAATTGTTAATCATAAAACAACAAACCCTTGCCCCCATCCCTGTTCTTACTTAAATCCTCTTTTTATGAAAAACTTGAAGAGAAATATATCAGTTTCTGCAGACTTTATTTCCATGTCCTAATATTTAAATCACTAATAAAGTTTCAGGGTCTAAGTGTATTGAACATTTCTATGCCATTATTTAATAATAGCACTAAGTTTATTTGCCTGAAGGCTTTTGGAAGGGGCAGCTGTCTAGGGGAATGTTAAAAGAGCTGCTTGAGAACCATACATACACATAGACTGGGAGAAAAAATATTGGGTACAAATGTGTTTGAATTATTTGGGAAATAAATGTCAAATATTTACCTGCATAGATCATGTTAAGTACAGAAAATAATTTAAATGTACATTGGTGACAGTTTCACAAGGCAATTTGTTAATTTGCATTATTTTAAGATGGTACTATTTTAGACCTTAATACTGTAGTATTGTATATGCATGTGTACCCATCACCCTATTCCCTTTCAGGATAAGCAGTATTTTGCAAAGTGCAGGGAAAAAAATAAATAGTAAAGAAAAGAAATTGGAGGGAGATGATAGTTGAAAAAAAAAAGGAAGTTGGACAGTAGTTTATACAAACATTTGTGATGACTCTGTACAGTTCTGTCCTTGCAAACCATTCTTGTTTTTATGACATCCATACCTCAATTAGTATGTTACTTTTTTCTTGAATTTTTTTTAGTTCTTTTTGAGATTCTTATCAATTCCATCCAACCATTACTTTCTTGTTTCCTTCCTCTTTTGTTTTGCAATTTGATCCTCATTCTTTCTTCCAGCTTCAGTTCCATATAACAAAGTGGACAGAAGTACAGGCTTATATGCAGAAATGGTAACTTCTTTTATAAACATTCGTTCCTTGCAGTATTTTTTCTACCAGCATTTGCATATCCTAATATTTCTCTTTTATCCATTTCCCCATCTTTAAGAAGCATTCTATGATACATTAATTTTCATACCCATACTTCTTTTTTCACCATATTCAGGTTCTCCACCGACAACATAGCAGCATTTACCTATAAAAATACAGATTCATTTATTTCACTAGTCAACACACCTTTAGCATCACTACAATCTTTATAAATTTAATGAAAAATACATTAAAAAAGCTCAAAAGGCACATATTCTTATATTACATATACTTTGCAGTATGTATATAAATAAAGTCATTGAATTCAGCATGTCTTTTAATTAAGTGTGCATAGGATTGCTGAATGTCACACTGTGTTCCTCACATAATTTTGTGGTGACCATTTTAATTTGTTAGATTTCTCTTGGTGCATATTCTGTATTAGAAGACTGGTGTTTTTCATATTTCTTCATGTTAAATATATTTCTCTTCTAGTTTAATTCCTTTATTTCAGTCATAAAAGAGATGTTAAATAAATTGGAATCTGAACACAAGACCAAACTTGAACAAATCCATGTTATGCAGGAACAACAAAAGTAAGTGTGCAAAACATCATTCTGTCACAATGAATTCATTAATATTATCTCTTTGCTTTGTTAGATAATTTTCTGTTTTTCTATATAAAATTAGATAAACATTATTAATAGTATATACTAATAGGTTAGCTGGCTATTAATATTCTACTGAAAGGAAGTTTATGGTACTTTTTTAAACTTCTTCACAGCCCTATAAAGTTAGCTAACTGTCATTCATCTTCACAGTTGAATACTTTGGAATAGATTTTCCATATAAACATATTATGAACTTTATCCTCCATAATCTTGGATAGAAATTTACACCAAACCACACTCAATAATGGCTGCACATGTTAAACCACAATGTTCATTTGATTTGAGTTCATGAGCTGGTGTGCAAACCTAGTCACACAAATGTATGGATTAGTATTATGTATGAGTTATGACTTCAGTTCATTGTTAAAAAATGTGTTAGTATAATGTGTGAATTGAATGTGTTTAAATTAAAACTCAGATATCTTAGGCATGATATCTATCATAGAATTTGAGTATACTATAGATATGTGTTTTTGATTTATATGCAATACTGTTATATAGTTAAATAAGAAAAACAGGAGAAATTTGAAGAATCTATGCTCTGTTATATGTATTTCATGTAATTTAAATGGGGTAACATTTTATAATTTATTAATGCAAGTAACTTAATAGCAATAATGAAAATGTTATTTTTATTATTTTTAAGAAATTGATTTAAGTATAGACATGTGGTATTGGGAGCAATGGAGGCATTCTGAAGTGCCCCAAAATTGTACTGCATGCAGAGGAAAGATAAAAATAACACACATACACACGCATAGTTATCTTACTGATGGTAGTGAGAGATAAAGGAGAAATCTTAATTGTTCCAGCATGCATGCAAAATAGAAAAGAAAAACTATATATTCAACTTTGGTGAATTTTTCAATTGCTGTGGCAGACAAGAGCCGAGGAGGGCTGAATATTGATTTTTTTTTTCCAGCCAACCTCTGTGTGTGTATCTAAGAAGTACAGTAAAACCCTGTGTTGTCTTTGTGTTAATTCTATTTTATTACTTTGATTTAACCTGTGAATTTATGCTGCTTGTGAACCTGTGATAAAGAGGCTGATGTGACCTCTACATAATAGTATAATTACTAATTGTTATGTTAAAAAAGAAACTCAAAACAAATTATTTTTAATTTGTAATGATAACATTTGGAATATATTTCTGTTACATTCTGTTGGAATATATTTCTGGGTTGTTTCTGAGATTGAAACAATAACTTATTATAATTATCTTTTTACAGATCTTTGGATATAACTAATCAAATGAAACCACTTGAAGAAACAAAAATCAGCAACATAGGCAATCAAGTAAGGGTTATGTATGTATGTATGTATGTATGTATGTAACTAACTCAAGGTGGCAAACATACATATTATTCCTTCGTCCTCCTGTTTTCCCTACAATAACAACCCTGTGAGATCGCTTGGCTGAGAGTGAGTAATTGACACGGAGGCACCCAGCTGGTACTGTATATATTAGATGAATATAAAGTGGTTTCAAGTAGCTGTTTAAAAAATATTTTTAATCTTGTTTTAATTCAAACAGGTGGACAAAACGTTTAGCAATCTAGGAATGTTAACTAGCGGACCTGATTGTAAAGAGAATGGAATGATGACAAATCAAAGAAAGGTACGCTTTAATAATGAGGTGCGTGCGTGTGTACGTATGCATTTTGAGTCTGTAATCAATGGTAGATTTCAATATGATGGCTTGGTCAGATAGAATTCTTCATTTTTGGTGTTGTCTTTGTAGTTTTAATGCAAACTAATGAGATATGAGATAAATTAGATATATTTAATGAGATATAAGACAAGGCCAGGAAGATCAAGCTGTCCAAAAAGAATATGCATAGAAGAGATACAGTATATATGATGCTATCTCTTTTTTCATTTGGTGAAAACAATTGCAATGAAACCTTCACTTAATGTGCCTCCATTTAGATGATTTCAGGTATAGCTGACAAAACTATCTGGAGATTTTCCTAAAATTATAGACAAATCCATTGCATCTGATGCAATCTGGATGAGGCAGTTAAATTTATTCTAATATTTAAACTTAAATGTATGAATCATTACATAAATGACATAGATTGCTGTAAATAATATAATTTTTAATTTAACAGATATTTGGAAGCAATGGACTTGCCTTTTTCCCCCTTTTTTTAAACATGGTAACTAAATGGCAGGCTCTTGGTTTTTTTAAAAGATCTGTAAAATCTCCATTCCCACCCCACTCCAAGGGAAGGATACTGTAAAATCTCCATTCCCTCTCTACCCCACTAACCTGCTTTCCAGCTCCATTCTCCTGTGCAGGGCAACAAAAGAAGACCCAGCCAATCAGCTGGGACTCAAGAGGCAGATAATAGATGTGGTGGGGCCAGTCAGAGGTGGTATTTGCTAGTTCTCCGAACTACTCAAAATTTCAACTACCGGTTCTCCAGAACTGGTCAGAACCTGCTGAATACCACCTCTGGTTCACAGTGCTGGTTTTTACAAAGCAATAGCAGTACCACTTAGATTTATATATCTCTCTATAGTGCTTTATAGCACTCTGAGCAATTTATAATGTCATCATATTACCCCCAATCATCTGGATCATTATTTTATCAACCTCAGAAGGATGGAAGGCTGAGTCAGCCTTGACCCATCAGGATTGAATTCCAGATTGTGAGCAGAGTTAGCCTGCAATACTGCATTCTAACTACTGAACCACCAGGGCTCTATACTTGTCTTAGCTCCAGGGTACTTTAGGGAGGACCAATCTGTGTTTGCAGTCAAGGAGAGAAAACTTAGGGGTTGATGTATAAGGAATTCAAGAGGATATGGTCCTGCACACACTTCTTCCTTGGGGCAGCTCCCTTTTTTTTTTTTTGGAATAACCTGTCTTGTGAGGTGTGGCTGGCATTTCCTTTTTAGAATTACGCAAAGCTTTTAAGACAGTGCTGTTTCATTAAATGTTTGGAGTTTTAATTTTGAATGTTGTTATGTCACCTGCTTTATTTTATTTTTATTTGATGGTGTTTTAACTTAATGCAAAAAACCTGAAGTTTTTAGAGAGATAGGAAGACAGAATTGATCCATCAAATAAAGATTTCATTGTATATGGCAACTGTAATCTATTGCGTATAAATCAATTTAAAAATAAAATGGTTTCTGGTTATTGGGTCATTGTAATGGGCAGAAAAAAACAGGAGGACTACCAAGACAATCAGATAAAAACTAGATAAAAACCATTTGGTTTAGGCAGGATTTGATCCAAACAAGTGTCTCAGACAAGGTTTATTACAAGGCATTGTTAACAATTTTAATAAATTACAATATTTATGTTAGCCAGATCTGTAACCAGGGGTTGTTATATTTATCATGTTCCCTTGTATCCATATTTTCATAGACTTTATATAAAATGGAAGTTATTCCCAATAATCTACTATAGTAATTCAGGTCATAAAAGTAAATGTTGTTATTCTATTTTTAAAAAAGACAGACGAGGAAAAAAGGCTGTGTGTTTTCTGTATATAGAAAAATTGAGGTTTGTTAATTTTAACAATCATTTATATCTTAAACATTTTATCCATTTCAATTGAATATCATGCCTTTGTGGGAACACTTATGCTTTCCACGATTATTACCCCCCACATCACAATCTTGAATCATATTTCATTACAGTACTCTCTTTTTCTTAACAAAAATTTCACTTATTTATGTTAGATATTTTATCACATTTTAAGCTACATATTATTTCTAATTTTCTATAATTACTTCTAAATACAGATATAAAAATGCAATCTTATGTACCTTTCTAGAATCCCATTAACAATAAGATCTATCCATTATCTCTGAAAAACTTTTGCTTCTTAATATCTTGCTCCCCACCATTAGAGCTTCTCATCCCTTCCTTTCTCCCTTGCTTCTTCTTCTCCTTGTCCTCTTTAACCCCTTGTCTCTCCACCTTCCTTTTATTCTGCTTTCCCCCTTTCTGTTGTTTCTTAACATAATATCCCTTTTTCACCTTATTCTTCTCTTTTTGGGCTGTTTTTTCAAATCTTAAAGACCTCTTTTCCTTTTTCTCTTGCTTTTTCCCGTCTCCAATCAAAGTCCTTTTTTCATCAAAGATGGCTTCTTCTTCTTCTTTGTCCCCATCATCCTCATTCTGCTTCGCATAAATATAAACCGCCATTTCTAAGTATAGAAAAATAGTGCCAAGTCCATCTTCCCCTCCTTGTTTTTCTCTTTCATATTTTTGATATATAAGTTCCAATCCATCCACAGATGATGCCATTGTGTAGAGAAAAAGTTTTTCCAAACAACCACCCAGATGATTTAATCAGAAATAATTTCCAAAGGTTCCAAAATCACCAAACAATCCAAACAGACTGTTTCTTTTAAATACCTTCTTCTTCACTTTTTCTTTCTGAGGTTAAAGTAATCACAAATCCTTTTCAAATATATTTTTTGGAAGTTTTTAAACTCTTTGCAATTCTAGGCATTCTTCTCCTTATTTTCAAATTTTACTCTGATTTTTTTTTCCACTCTCCCTTCCCACTCACAGCCAAAAAGATTTTTTTTCCCCGCTGTCACTTTAGGAAGGAGAGTAGAACAAAGAAAAAAAAAACTTTCCCCTTTAGGGTATTCGCAGCTTGTGGCTCTCACAAGGAACAATATATCCTTAACAGCTTTCAAGGTTCCAAATCACTTTCTCCCGTCTTGTCCCAGTTAAAAGCACCTTTCACTTCCTCCAGCTTTCTCCCTCCTGCACTTGCTTACCCGGCTGCAGCTTTCTTCGTGGCGGCCATTACTGACCGCCGTTCCTCCGCCTCGGGAAAAGGGAGTTTAGCCGGCTGGGGAGGGGGTTTGCGACACCCCCAAACCCCTTGCCGGATCCCCCCTATCTTCAGCTGCCTCTACGGGGCAGCTATATCCCCCAGATCCAAATGGATCGGGGGAACCTTGGCGGCGAACGCAGCAGGGATCGCGCGGTCGCAAATCCCTGCCGCTACCGAAGGCTAGCAAACCGGAAACCAATTAATGATTAGAACATGGTATACTAGCAAAATCTTTTGTGAAATGAGATTTGAAGTAGAAGAAGGAGGAACATTTCAACGAAATATTGAGGTATAATATGTGATGTGGGGGGGGGGATAATTATGGAAAATAGGGCTCTCATAAAAGCATGTGATTTAATTGAAAAGTAATGAGTTAAACATCTAAGATATGAATGAATATCAATACTAATGAATAGATTTGTATTATTTTTGATAATATAGTATAATTTTAGAATGTACCAGACAGAATCCCAATGTATGTTATGTATTTTATATTAAGTACTATAAATATAAGGGAAAAAGATAAAGGCATCATACTCCATATAGTGTACAGGAGAAGTATTTCTTCTTTTTTTTAAAGAAGAAAAATAAATGATTGGCTGGAGTAGAACAGACAAAGAATAATAAATATTAGGATATGAATTGAGAGGAGGAAAAAAAAATTGAGAAAATTTAAAGGAGAGGAGAAGTTATATAGAAAATTGAAAATGTTAATAAGATATGAAATGGTATGTAAAATGAATATGAAATTGAACTTGTGTCTGTACCAAGAGTTTTAATCCGGGACTAAGCAACTTTCAGAAAAGAGATTTTTTATGTTTTTATGTTTTGTGTTTATGTGTATTTATGTATTGTTTGTCTTGAAAATAAAACTTGTTTAAAAAAAAAAAAATTGAGGTTTGGCTGAGATGCAAACATCAAGTAGATCAGATTGGTGTCCGAAAAATGACCCAGGTATTCTCATTTGGATAAACGTTTCTAACTCTGCTTTGTTAGTCTTGCTGATTTTGTAAAGCTAGTTAGCGACAATTGGTTCACACTACCCATTAACAAATGTGTTCTTTTGAAGGGGTCACTTACACTTGAAGAAAAGCAGAAGTTAGCAAAGGAACAGGAACAAGCACAAAAACTGAAAAACCAACAGCCACTTAAACCCCAGCCTCATGCAATTATTGCACCAGTGAAACAGGTATGGGTGCCATTGACTGATTGATTAATTTCATAAATATATTTGAGTACAAATTTGAAGCAGTAAAATCTTAGTAGCAATTTTAAAAAGCCAGTTCAGCAGCTATGTTTAAACATCTCAGAAAATGATTTAAGCAATCTCCCCTAAAAGTAGAGATAGATTGTAAAGTCTTTGTTAGTTGTCTACCTAATCTTAATGTAAACATTTGGTAACTTGATCTTTTCTCAACAAAAGTTATAAATACTAGCCTTCTTTACAGACAATGGATGAGGAGCCCATAGTATCCTAACAATAATTCATTTGTTCTAGCTATCAGTAGCAGCCACATTACAATGTACACAGTTATTTAGACTGTGTTCAAGAGGCAAATAGTAAAAGCAAAGTATTGTGTAAGTATAGCACATTTAAAACACTAGAAATATGCTGGAGCAGAGGAGTGGGTGTTTTATTCAATTGGAATGTGGTATCATCTAAACATCTGCTTAAAAAAACAATTACCATGCTGATGTTGTAAATTTGCCTTTGCCTTCCACATATAATATGCAGGTAGACCTTGACATATGACTAGACGCTTAATGAGTAGTCAAATTTGCCACAAACCCTGAAAAAGCTACCTATAACTGGATTCAAAGTTCTGATGTTCTACCCTCCCCCCTGGTCATGTGACCATATTTTGGATGCTTGGTAATCAGCCAGTATTTACATTCGTTTGCAGCTTCCAAGAATTATTGACTGCAATTTATGATGATTTGACAGAAACCAGTCTTTACTTCCTGGTTTTGGAACAAAATGCTCCATAATAAACAACGTGTTTGCTTTGTTACCTCCATATTATCGTAAAGACCACTGCAAATGTAGAATTTGGTGTGGAATGTCGTGTCCTGCTTTATGACCATCACAACTTACCATTGAAATTGAAGGCTCAATTACAGTCATGTCAAGAACTATGTCTATAGTTTTTAAAATAAAATTATTTCGCTGATGTTTATTGTTTAACTGATAACAATTGATGCTGCTGTAAAATAATTTTAATTGTCTTGTGTTATATTTTTAGACGAAGGACTTGACTGATACTCTGAGAGATAACATAGCTTCATTGACCACTCAACCCATCAACAAACCTAAAGTTCCTTCTTCAACTAGCTTTTCTTCAGTTGGTATTGGAATGGGATTTTCATCATCTGTTGAAAACACGAAGAGAAATGGACTAAATGCTAATATGGGGTTTCAGCCCTCTGGATTTGGCATGGGGATTGGTACCACAAGCCAGAATTTCTTTGGTAATACTGGGGTCACTGGAATGGCTAACATGAATATGTTGCCAACAGCAAACATGCCATCTTATAGCTCTTTGAACACTACTTCGCCAGCTGTGCAGCAAAGCAGACCACCTGATATGTCTTCTTTAGATAGCCTATTTGGGTCTCAAAAACCCAAAGTTAGTATGAATCAGTTGTCACAACAGAAAACAAACCAATGGCTTAATCAATTTACACCTCCTCAGGGTACCAACAGTTGTCCTTTGGGAACACAGATGAATGTAATGGGACAAACTGGCTTTGGCTTACAGGGAAATCCTTTCTTTAATCCTCAGAACTTTACACAACCAACAAACAGCATAGTAAACAGCAGCTCAGCTAGCAAGGACTTAAATGACCTCTTTGGATAATAGTTGTAATTGTGAGCATTTTATGCCTGTTAAAAAGCTGATTTGGGTAAATTTGATATAATGAAATGAACATGAATATATTTCCACATTAATATATTTCATTTGTCTATCTGTTTTACTTTTCTTAAGTAATTACAAGCCTCTGTCCCTAATTTCATTGTTTTTAAATCAGGTTGTATCAATCTGAGCACCCAGAGTTATGATTAATAAATAAAGACTGCATGCCTACCAGTTTTAGGCATTTATATGCTGGTTGTTCTTGCTATCTTCTACTGGTAAATATGGTCAGATAATTTACTCCCAGTTGCAAATGCACAAGACCTGAAAATGTGTGGACTAAGTGAGATGGACTAGGTAGTAATGTAGGATTTCAGCCTTCTGGAGTTGGCATGGAAATTGTTACATAAGCCAGGATTTCTTTAGTATTGTTAGTTTCATACTATATCACCTGTTATACAGCAGACCAATTGTTACATTTCCTTTCGATATCCTAATTACTGTATATTTGTACAAATACAAGCAAATGATTTATCACCAATCCAGGATCCAGCATATGCATCTGAAGTATGTGCTACACCTAGGCTTTTGAATTTTGCTCTGTCTGAATTTGATATGACATCTAGTTAGAAATAAAAATGACTTGTGGTTGAACGTATTAATATTGTATTTCTGGGAAAATATGAGAGCTCTGATAGGTGTACAAAATCACAATTATTTACCCTACAGCATTCTTCCCCAATAGAGAGTGTTTTGAAAATATTTGTAGAATAGCAGTCTTCTACATTGAAAAATATTGCAAACTATGAATGCTCTGATTTACCTCTTAATACCTAATGTCTGCCCAACCAAAGCATTTACATTTTTGGCATAAATTTTAAAAATGTTATATAAAAAACTTAATTTTATCACTTGTTATATTTAACATCCAAACATTAAAATAATTAGTTGCATATTGATGAACAGAAGTCAATTGAGCAGCAAAGCTGGTAATTTTTCTGGATACTTAAAATGCAAGCAGTACGTCTTCAGATAAATATTTGTTAAGGAATCAGATTTGATTGCCATTGGCCTTGATGTTTCTTCAGGTTTAAGTAGCAGAGCTTTAAATAAGACAATGTTATTTATTGAAATGTATTTTTTCCTCATTGAGGCCCTGTCAGAATATATAAGAAGAATAAACTTTTACCCTCAACTTGGAGAAAACAATCAGCTTTCATCTGAATACAGTTCTCAGTGTAAAAGCTTTATTTCAGTAAAAACCAATAGTAAATTCTGCTTTATAGCGGGAAAGGGAAGTCCCCCCCCCCCCCCCCCCCATTATTTCTTTCCCAGAACGTTGGTGAGTTTCATACACAATTCTTTGGAATGTAGCAAATTATATTGAGAAGATGTGTAACCTTTTTGTTGGAAAGAAAGCTAACACTTTATTTTCAGTACCTTTCATTGATGAAACTTTCCATTTGCTGCTTAAGAAACCAAAGGTGCTTATGCTGTGAATGTGAACTGAATTTTCTTAAATTATATTTTCATTATAAACAGTAATGGTGTTAAATATATCTTAAGGACTTGCTTTATTTTTCTGTCTTAGTACTTTTATTTTGTATCTTTGGACCAGTGATAATATTATTTATCACAAAAAAAACCACCTGTGCTATTTATATACAGTCAATATTTTGTTGAGGTATGTTTAATTCGCCACATGTGTAAAATTATGAATGCTAAATCTACAGTTCTTTGTATAGTTCCAGGTTTCTTTAAATTTCTTATTTATGGCCTAGAAGGATTTCCCAAATGTTAAAAGAATTTTTTAAAAAGATAAATATATTGAAGATACAAGTTTCCTATAATATATGAAAACAAACTTTTACAAAAAAAATATAAAATACCAGTATATCTTTACAATGCTGTTGTCTGTTAAAAATATAGCTTTTATAATGTAATCTGAATTTCTTAAAATAGCTATAGAAAATGTTTGTTTTGGCTTCACCCCACTAATAAAAACTTGCATTCCACTGGAACTTGTAGAGCTTTGATAGTAACTAATGATAAGAATTTTTACTGTTCTTTTGTACAGTGGAAATTTCATTTAATGTAAGACTATACATGGAAGAGGGAGCCTTCAGGCCTCAGTGGTATAAAAGTTCTTGAAGCATTTTTATACATGGCCAATATCATAGTAACTTTATAACCAAATATTATACCTAGCTTTCATAAGACACACACATACAAAAAGAAATATGACATATGAATAGTTTGCTATCTACCGTACTATAACTGTTTAATAAAGGTTACTTGTTTTCAAAATAGTAAACAACCTTAATTTCAAAGAAAACACTTCACTGATTTACTGAAAAAAGAATATTTGTTCAGTCTTTTCTATGAGTGTACATTTAAAACTAATTTAGATACAATGACCCTTGATTTATTATTGGGCTTTTTAAAACATATTTTGGCCTGTGAATAGATACAACTGCCCTTATAGCAGATTACTTTTTTCTTTTACAGTGAATCAAACAAATGAATTGCTACCATCTTAAGAAGATGCTTGGATTATATCAGAGATATTATGTTGTCAACCTTTAATGAATATTAACACAAGCATGGAATTTAAAAAGACATTTAAAGTTGAGAAGCATTTTTTTTCCTTCAGGAAATACTTCATCAATTCTTTTTAAAAAATGATTTCATTAATCAGAATAAAATCAAGTTTTGTTTTTAAAAATGGTTTCAGAAGTTCAGAAGGCAAATATTTTTAGATAACACCAATTTTGATCTCATTAAGTAGGATCAAGTTCTATCTACTAAGCTAAATAAAACAGGCCACTGAGCCGCAGCCATAAGAAATTATCTTTGCAAAAGAAGAGAACTAGTCTAATGGATGCTGATCTCTCTCAGAAAAGTTAGAGTAGTAAAATTAAAGTAACATAAAATATTTAAGTAAACATTTCAATTCTCATGTTTTTACTGAACTTAAAATTATAAAATTCATTTTTTTCCTTCTGTAGCAATTCTGTGTTTTATGTTTAAAGCAGAAGGTATATCGATGGATTTGCTGAATCGGATAAACAAGTTTCTTTTAAAGTACATCCAATATTTTGGTCTTATTATAGTGAAATAAATCTACTAAACATATATACTATAATGAAGGCTTCTGATATTTGATTTCTGTACAGTGATGTGTGACACACTTATAGTTTTCCATAGGGGTGATCCATATAAAAAATATTGCTTATACCTGTTAATGTTATGGCTACATCAGTCTAATGTAACCAACAAAAGGCCAATACAATATTTAAAATAAAATAATACTCTAATGGCATACTTCCAATTCGACTTTGTGGATATTTTCTAAATATTGATCTGCTTGTGTAGCACAAGATTTTAAAAAATAATTTTCAAAACATATTTCGCAATCCTACAAATATTAAGCTTTTGTTTGTGTAATATATAATGATTCATTGTGTGATTCATTATCCTGAACTCAAAACCATTGTATATAATAAATAAGAATTATTAGTCTAGGATTGCTCCTAAACTTTCTTGGATTTCAATCAACTTCTTAAAAATATACAAGTTCCTTATATGTGTTTTTATAGAGAGAGAGAAAGAGAGAGGACTCAGGCCTGATTGAAATTATTTGATAGTTAATTGTTCAGTCTTTATTTAAGCATTAATTTCTATGTTTAAAATGATATAGCACTCAAATTCTTATGTGTAAAATGATATTACTCTAGTTCATTGTGGTTTGTATGAGATAAATATTTGGAACATGAAATTCTATTTTGATTTATTGAACCTTTGCTGTTCTTGGAAACAAATCTATTGATATCAAATTTTAAAACTGTTAACTCTTAAATATGTAAAATGTACAGTGATATAAGAAATTCCTACCATTTTGTACTGTGAATGAATAACTGTAGTTTTCAAATAGTCAATGATACTGCTTTATTGGAATAAAGGTTTTGTGTTTTTTCCATATATTCGGTTTTTCAAATGAGAATGGATCATGTTTAGATGGAAAATAATAAGGTTTTATACAATTGGCTATGAAGAAGTTCTAATTGAAAAGAACATTTAAACTTTATTAGTAAATTAAATGAATAAATAGAAAATAAATCTTATTTAGTA